AACCCCTAGTGGTTCAGTAAGTTTCTGAGGAAACAGAAATTTGTTCGCATCGCAGAAAATAATTTAGAGAATGACGGCAACTACTGTGAGTAAAATGTTGCTGTTTCCTAATGAATGTACGTCAGCTTTGAGAGCAGCAACAATTAAAAGCCATTATAAGTGTCTTTAAAAGAGAAAAAACAGAAGGACAATTTTGCTTTCTTGAGACACTTCTTTCCATCTCAGCCAAACAAATCCTCTATAAAAAATAAGAGATTGTTATAGTCTTCAAACAGTACAGCTGTAACACCACTGCAAAAAAAATGTTCACATGTTTTTAGCCACTCATGAACAGTCTTGTTCTTAGTGGCTTTGTTTGTGGAATTCATTTTATTCCACATTTCCAAAAATGAGTTTTTACAACACTTTCTCAAAACATTTGAGGCTTCAATTTTTAAGCTACAGATTTTAATATAAAAAATCCGATATTGTATTTCAAATTATATAGTATATTTGCAGTACATTCCTGTCACAATATTAACAGCTGTTGCAGTCCTCCATGCTTTTTCATTAACAGTGTATATCGGTTAACATTTGTTGGGTGAACTCTTTTATAGAGTTGCACAAGAAAAACAGTGTTTGAAGCTTATTTTTTGTTTCAGGTATGAGGTGAATTTCCAAGATGGAATTGACTGTGGTGGGGCTTACATGAAACTTCTGTCTGCAAGTGATGATTTAGATTTGGTGCGTAAAGAAAAGCTGTTGCAATTAATACCGTAATATTAAGGTTGTATTTTTTAAACATCTCTCTGTATCAGTCGCTAGTTTCCTGTTTTAAAAAAATAACTTTTTTATGTTTTTCAGGAAAGGTTTAATGACCAAACTTTGTATACGATCATGTTTGGCCCTGACAAGTGTGGTGAAGACTACAAATTGCACTTTATCTTCAAACACAAGAATCCCAGGAATGGAGACTATGAAGAGAAGCATGCAAAACGGCCTGATGTGGATCTGAAGAAATTCTACACTGATAAAAAACCCCATCTGTATACATTGGGTACTACAGAATCTACCAATCTCTGTAGCTGATTGGCATATGCTTTTATGCAGTTCAATATGTTGTTGTACCTGTCATGTTTTTTCTGAGAATGGTTAAATATTGGATGTAATTCTGACATTGTTCCATTTATGAAAAAAAAAAATGGGTTTGGTTGTGTCTTCATCAGTGTTGAGCCCGGACAACACCTTTGAAATCTTCATTGACCAAACAAGTGTGAGTAAGGGGAACCTCCTGACAGACATGGCCCCTCCTATAAACCCCCCTAAAGAGATTGATGACCCCAATGATGTCAAACCCGAGGAATGGGATGAGAGACCCAAGATCCCTGACCCAGACGCTGTCAAGCCTGATGACTGGTGAGTGAGTACAGCTGTCTGGCCTTATTTCCCTCACATTCCATTGACATCAGAGCCAATGCCAGTTGTATACAACAAAAGTATTTACAGTTGTATGCAAACAACTGCAGATCACGTTTGTGCAAGCAACGCTGCACTGTGGACTGGTGCACCACTACTCCCGTGCTAGCTAAACCTTCCTGCAGGTCCTTTGCAGTGATATGGGGGTTTTGCTTTGCATTCCTGATCAGTCTACAAGCAGTTCTATCGAAGATTTTTCTTGGTCTTCCAGATCTTGTCTTGACTTCAACAGTTTCCCTTAACTTCCGTTTCTTAATGACATTTTGGACAGTAGAAATTGCAAGCAGGAAGCTTTTAGATATCTTTTTATAGCCTTCCCCTGCTTTGTAAGAGTCAATTATCTTTATTATCTGATCTTCACTCAGCTGGTAAAGGAGCACAACACCCTGAGAGGTTCGAAGAGTCAGAGAATTTATGAAGCTCTGGAATTGTCATCACCTGACTTAGATTAAGGCCTAACAAGTCAATTAAGTTCTGAGACCTTACCAAAAAAATAACACTAGTGGGTCAACTGGACTTTTGCACATGCAACATTTACTGTTTTATTTTTTCAATCTGTTAAATTCAGCAAATAAATAGTAACTGTGCAATAACATTTGCAGAAACATGCCAAGTTTAAGTGTGTTCGCTGCAGAGGTTGTTAACTTCTTTTCACGTAGAAAATCAACAAAACATGTAATTTGGCCAGGGGTGCCCGAACTTGCGCATGCAACTATAGATTATTTAGTTAAGAAACATTGTCTTTATGTGTGTTATAATGGGTTTCGTGTAGTGTACTTTATGGCTTTTGACCAGGATACTTCATCACTTGAGATTACTACGCATTTTACAGTGCACTAGCTTTAAGAAAAAATGCCAATTAAAATATGTCTCCTGTTTCATTAATAAGAGTATAACTGATGTTGTGTACTCTAGGGCAAAATATAGAATTAACAAGTGGTGGTTATTACTCTCTCTCTCACTAGTTTATTTCCAGTAAAGTAGTATCACTAAACACATCTCCTTTACAAAAAAAGATGGATCCTTTGTCATCATTCCTGATTTTTGTCTGGTCAGGGAAAGTGACATTTAAGTATGTAAATTACCTAATTCAAATCAATAAAAGTGATTTGATTTTTGGAAATATGGTAGAGAAAGGATACTTTTTTCATGTAAATACACTGCTTCCTGAAGTAAAGCAGTAACTTCTTTAATTTAACAAGAATGAGCAATATATTTGCAGTCTTTAGAAATATGCTATAGCTGAGCTGTACTATGAGATGGTTTTATCAGAGTGAAAATAAATATATTCATAATGTTTTACATTATTGTGTATTACATAACAAACGAGTTGGATTCTCAGATCTTACCTGTTATTCTTCTGAGGCCATTGAGAAGCACGTTACGTTCCAGTTGAGTCTTTATACAGAAGTGTCAGATCAGTGTTTTATTTTTTGCAGGGATGAAGATGCTCCAGCTAAGATAGAAGATCCTGAAGCAACAAAACCAGAAGGCTGGCTTGATGATGAGCCAGAGTACATTTCAGACCCCACTGCTGAGAAGCCCGAGGACTGGTAAACTATCGCTACACTTATCCATATTTTGTGTATTTTTTTTGTTGGTTTTGTCTGTGTCAGAATTGTACTGTACTGTAGCTCTCGCATGGTACAAAAAAGGGTCACAAAAGTGACTCTTTTCATTACCCATACCCTTCCAGGCCATCTGGGTAATTGGATATCTGACAGAAAAGGACACACCTGATCTATCTTTAACAGCCACTGTGCGGTAGCACGTATCCGTTGGATTCCCTGACATTTCTGTGGTGTTAAAGAAGGACGAAGGCAGGTGCTCTGTGTTTGATGGCGATGTGCTTGTCCCAGGGATGAGGAGATGGACGGGGAGTGGGAGGCTCCTCAGATTCCCAACCCGGCGTGTGAAGCAAGCCCAGGCTGTGGGGTGTGGAAGCCTCCCATGATCAATAACCCAAACTACAAAGGAAAGTGGAAGGCTTCCCTCATCGAAAACCCCAGTTACCAGGTTTGTTCTGTCTGGCCTGCAGTGTGGAGGAGTGGTTAGAGCTCTGGACCCCAATGTCCCTGGTGGGACACAGCCGCTGTAGTTTTGAGCACAGTACCTCAGCCAGCTGGATAAATGGGTACCACAGTTGTGTATGTAAAAAATTAGTGATTGTAGTCTCCGTAAGACGCTTTGAATAACAGGGTCGTCCAGATATTAAAATAAATCATAGGGTCTTGTTCAGTAGGGTTAGATTTTTTTTTATTTTCTTCTGCTCTCTGAAGAATAAGGCAGATTGCTGGATTGATACAAAACAATAAAAATGAACGTGGATGCACATTTTTTTATAGAATATTCCTAATTTAGTTGTGATGTCACTCACTAATGAAAAAAACACTATGTTAAAATTATGTGTTTGGAAAAACATTACTGTGTAAGGTGCTTTAGCCCCAAATACTCTACATTCATTCATCTTGTAATGAGCATTTTTGAAGCATTTGAAGGAGCAGATCCTGTGAATCTCCAAATATGTTTTTCCATAAAAACGAAGATTAGAAATCATAAATGCATAGGTAGAGAGAGGAGCTGTGGTAGAGTGCGGTATAATTTTGAGGTCTTCATATCTTTTGCAAACAGAAGAATGAAGAAATGTTATTATCTTAAATTAATATCCAAATAGAAGCATAATGTTCATCCAAGTAAAAATTAAAACTCTGTTATTTATATAGTTCTACAGTAGCTACAGAAAGACTCATTAAACAAGCTTTATTAAGAGAGATCTCTGCAGTCAGCTACAATAGATGTTGCATGGAAATACTTTCTCTCCTCCTAATTCACATAGAAGCTGCTCTTTTTGCTTGCCAGAATTACATTTAAAAATGCTGTCCCTCAGATATCTTGTGTCTGAGTTTAAAACCTAGGTCTTCTTACCCCCCAGTCAATGAGTGGAAGGTAAATGTGATATGTGATTGGTGCTGTATAAATGGCTGACCCTGTGCTCTGACCCCAAGCTTTCCTCTCCCCATCTGTGTGCCTCATGGAGAGTTAGCTTGGGTATGCGAAAAAACAAATTCCAAAGCAAGAAATTGTATATGGCTAATAAAGTGATCTTATCTTATCTCTTATCTCTTATCTCTTATATTCTGAATGGGGCATGTTTTTGTGCTCCATTGAGAATTATTGCATGCGGCATTGAAGTGATCTATGACTGTATGTTGTTCAAGTCTTGCATCCTTTCCCCTGTTGTTTCCCATAACCTTTAATTCAGTACTTCATATTCTGACTGTCAGAATGTCAATTGTATTTCCTAGGGGATTTGGAGTCCCAGAAAAATCCCCAATCCAGATTATTTTGAAGACCTCCATCCTTTCAGAATGACCCCTTTCAGTGCGGTTGGCTTAGAGCTGTGGTCCATGACCTCGGAAATCTACTTCGACAACTTCATCATCTGTTCGGACAAAGAAGTGGCAGATCGCTGGGCCTCTGACGGCTGGGGAGTGAAAAAGTTGATGGCCAGTGCCAATGAGGTAAAGCACTTTCTTTCCTCTCATACTTTCCTCTGTTTTGACTGTGTGTCTTTAATTGCTGGTTCCCGTTTGTACACTTCTCTGTCCTTGTATTGGACTGTGCCATAAAACTAATTCCCCCCAAAAGGGATAATAAAGCTAGACTGAATTAAATAAAGAGAAGTCTTTTCGGACTTACAGATGGTAAGATTCAGTCTTGAGGATGTTATTTGGTTCCTTTTTAGGGAAATGTAACTTATTGGAATCCATTAAGCTCTGTTGATGAATCTTATAACCTTGCCACTGCTGTTTGTTTTGTCAGCCAGGAGTGTTCAGCCAGTTGATGGCTGCTGCAGAGGAGCGTCCTTGGCTCTGGGTAGTGTACATCCTGACGGTGGCCCTGCCAGTGGGACTAGTGGTGCTCTTCTCCTGGCCCAGGGTAAGCTATCAGCCAACAAATACATTTAAAGCTTACTAGGATGAGAACACAGTCAGGTTCTCTTGTTGTTACTATACTCTGAAAACATGACCAAACTGTCATTCATATTTAACGTAATGTTAGTGTGTGAGGCACAGTACCACAATCAGCAGAATTTTAGACAAGGACGGTAAGTTTGAACCTATGGTTCCCCAAACTGAGCCATTTTGTAAACATTTTCTAAGCAAGGCCATGGCTGCAGCAGCTGTAAATGCTGAGGTCACAGTTCCAGGTATTAAGAATTGACTGATGTTTGTAATCAATGCTTTTGTTTCTGTTTTCAGTGCTGTAGAAAGGGGTTAATCAGACCCCACTGCTGGGTTTGATTTCTAAATTAAATCAATTAGGGAGGTGTGTTAGATGAGGATGATTACGTCCATCTAAAGACATAATTTTCCTTTCTCTAAATATGCTGTAGAAGGATTAATTAAAAAAATACTTTTTGTACATGTAGAACAGGGGAATGCGAAATGTGTGGAAAATGTGCTTTAGGGTCTAGCATCAGTTAATCCAGATGAATGTCCACTGGAGTGCCAACATATCTCTTTTGTCATTTTTAGGTTATATTCAAAAGGAATACCCATTACATTACAATAATTAGTATTTAATAGTTTTAGACATTAGAATCTGCAGCACTAAACCTAAATCTTGCATGCACTGGCCAGTTCAGTTTATCTATAAGAGTAGGCTTGGTGAGCAGGCATTTGACAGTGCTGTCATCTGCGTGGTGTTTGGTTTGTATATTTAAGAAATCTGATGAAGCCGCCAGCTACAAGAAGACCGATGATATTCAGCATGATGTGCTGGAGGATGAAGAAGAGGAAAAGGAGGAGGAGCAGGAGAGAGAGGAGGAAGCTGACACAGAGACAAGGGCAGACACTGGTAAAGCAGGTCAGTTCAATATTCATAGCAGAGAAACTCATCTTACTTTTACTTTCATCTGCAGTCTACCCTGACCATGAAGAGCCACAGTCCTATAGGTTTTATGGGTTACCATTAAAGCTCCAATCTGTAAAATCTTCAAACAATATTGTTTTGACCATTTAAGCAGGTGATTTATTCAACTGAGTAGGTTAAAAGATCACAGCCTAATATTGTCAAGTGGATTTATTTTATGTAGCAAACATTTTTTTATTTTTAAAAATGTGACTTAGAAGAAAAAGGTATACCATTCAGTTTAGCAAGTGAGAAAAGTGTTTCTGTAACACAAAGTTTAATGTAATAAGTGTCTAAAAATTAATGGAGGAATAAGAAAGAAATATTTCAGGAATTCAAAGCTGCATTGCAATGTATCAAATTAAGAATTCATATTAAAAAAAACAGCTCTCCAAAGATGAGACTGTAGACAGTTCAACACCAACATTATAAGAAAATCATACAACAATTTGTAATGTTGTATATGATGGTTCTTTCAGTATCACAACTCTGGAACTCCAGGTGTTTTTGATTAATTTTGTGCTGCCTGCAAAAAGCACATCACTTTTTTTCTTACTTGTATCCACTTCAGTTGGATTTTAGATAACATACCATTCTTTCCTTCGTTCATTATTGCTCAGCATAAATGAAGACTTCTTTTGCCTTGAATATTTTTTTCAAATAAGCTATATATTAAGGCCTTGTGGGTGACATTATACAATATTTTTCTTTTTCAACCAACCCAGCATTGAATCAGCAGTTTGAAAACAATTTATTTAGTACACCATTATGAAAACCGCAACACTGCAGGAAGAATGAAGGCTGTAAAACTTTACTCTGAAAGCCACTGTTGATCTGCTCCAGAAAGACCTGCGGGACAAAGCTTATGATTTGGATGTGTGACACGTTCATCTCGCACACGGGGTACTCACAGGTTTGCTGTTGTGAGGCACAGGATACTCGTTGCACCCTAGTCTTAGCCTCTTGTATGGCTAAGGGAATCCCAAAAGCAAATGACCCCGGAGGTCAAACTGTCAGTTTTTAAGATTGGAAGTGGCATGTGACCATGTGACTCCATGTGCACTGGAACACTTTCACATGGGATGGGATTTTAAAACTCAGCAAAGACCCAATGCTGAATGTACACATTTTAAATTTAAGGGCAGTTTTAAACTCTCATCTTTGGGCAGGTTGGAGGAGTCTACCTAAACTCCCATCTGAGACCATGGGTTCCTTAGCTGTGTGCTGAGATAAAATTATCACAATTGACTATCCCAAACTGTGTGGGTATATAATAAGATATAATGGGAGATTAAAAAACAGTGTTGACCTGTCTCGGAGTACCCAGCCGTAAAGGAAATCATATGGCCTGGTTTTCAAATAAGTTGACATTTGACCTGTGTTTGATTATCCAGTGATTGTTGTTGAAAACGCGTAAATGTAGTACTCTTAGAAGAAATTGTATAAGTACATAAACCTTAGCAGAGTATCTGTGTTTTGCTTAATCTGTTATTATTGTTAAAAAACACTTACTACGTGATTCCCTTATATTTAGTGTATTGTTTATAAGAATCTGCCTGTGAAGGGTTAAAGGTTCACTTCAAGTTAAAGAAATTTCTAGTAAATGTCTGAGCTGACTAGTGTTTGTCTTGCTTTTGTTTTTGAGATATAAGGGATTATTTAAGGCGGAAGTAAAGTCAATCAGCCCCCTACAACTATGTAGGAGAACAAAACTTGGTAATTCATGTGTTCAGATTACGTGAATTCACACTACACTCAGTTAACAGCATAATGGATATTTGTGAGCAAAAAGAACTAGTCTGTTTTTTTTTTCTATGTTGCTTTCAAGTACAGTCTGTGAATTTATTTTAAAAGTAGTTAGCTCAGCTATTTACTAGCCTTGAGACAGCAGTGTGATGAATGCTTTGCAGATGTTCTTGCAGTTAGATCAACACAAGAATTAGTGCTGTCAGATCCCAAGTAGATGAACTATAAATTTTGCCTGTTTAATTCTAAGTACAGTTTGTAAATTCTGTATGATTGAAGAAAGAGTATGATTAATTTACCTACTTTCTCCTAGAGTGGCAACTGTACTTGAGTCACATACTGTATATCTCTGTCTACACTAAAGCAGACAGTTCAGGACAAAAAATTGGGACAATCATCTCACATTAATGGCATTTCTCCTGAATTTCATCTGACTTTCTGGCCCCAGTTAGATGTTCTTCTGCTTGAAATAATGCATACAGCCTTTGAGAAACTTTTAGAAGGGATGTTAATACTGCAGTTAAATCTCTTTTACTGAAAATAAGACAAAGATTTATTATCTGTGAGCTATCATCCTGCATCCTGTTCTGATGCCAAGCTTTATGTTAAGGTGCTACTGGCTAGAGGCCTTTATGATCAAATGAGTAGACTGTGATCAGTGATTAGGGAGGTTTTCTTAAAATGCATCTTCCACCTCCTCTACATTATACATGCAGCTACAGACGTTGCCATATATTTCAGATACCTAGGATCAATACCTAGGGTTGATCTTCCCAACTTTCCATCTCTAGGAGCAATCCAGTGTTTATCACTGGTTTCCCTTGCACCAAAACCTAGATTAATGTTGCAAGTTCATTGTTGACATGATACTTTGTTCATGTGTTCATATTTCGTCTTATGTGACTTTTCAAAGATTTCACAGAACACCTGTTCATACAGTATATGAAGGCACACCATTTGAAAAAAGCTGGTCTAATCACACCTGTTATTTGCCTTGTTTTTGTAAACAGAAGTCTGCTATTTCAATCTGTATTTCTGTCAGTAGTATTCACCACTGCCCATCACTTTATGGTGAAATTTATATTGGTGCATGTACTCCTTTCACCAGGATATAATTTATATTTTTATATAAACGGGTAAATACGGGTAAATGCAGACTTAAACAGGTGGATATGTTTTCCCAATTCTCTTCAATCTTTACTCAATCTTTAGAAATTCAAGTAAATTTTAAGTTCTTTAGAAAGGGAAGTGACAGTGTGTTAAATTCTCCGTGCTATTACATAATGATTTTTTAAATTTCAGTGTTGTTTTATCTTTACATGATACTACTATATCTGGACACCCACTTTTTGATATTTTTGAAAATTTAGTGTAATGTTCCCCTTAGATGCTGTAGTTTACATTTTGGACAAATTATGAAGTACTTAAATATAACTTTGTACAAAGATTCATGAAATATCTTAAGACATGGCACGCTCATTTTCCATAATCATAAACTCCTTATAGGTAAATCCCCCCCCTTTTGCATTCTGATTCAGAATCTGTAATCTCAATACAAGCTTCATGGCTCTTCTTTATTTTTTTACTTACAGCTCTAATCTGCAGTGCATGTCTATGTACCTTTGCGAGTGAGGTTATCTACATACATAATGTTTAGTATAATCTTTTGGAATTTATGGGCGAATTAGGATTGGTGTCCCATATTTATTTTTTCTTGAAAATACTTTTTGTTCTGTTTCTGACAAACCAGTTCACAAATTGCACACTATGACTTTAATAGTAGTTTTTACTTCTTTGATATGCTTAGGTGCCTTAGTTAACTAACCCTCAATAATCATTTTTCACTTAAAAATGTGCATACGTATCAAGTCTGTATTAGATATTTCTAAATCTGGTGATATAAATTAAGCATGTATCTATATATTGTAGTTAAATGCTGCTTTCTGTTTAATACTGTATAACTATGATTGTCCCAGAAGAGGAGGAGGAGGAGGAGGAGGAAAAGAGGAGTGATCATGAGAGTGGAGCTGCTGGAGACAGTCAGGATGAAGAGGAAGAAGACAGCAACAAATCTAACGAGACTGCATCAGATGATGAGGTAAGCCATCTGGACATTGCGTTACTGGTTTATCAACTGCATCCACTGGTGAGGTTGTAAGTAGGAATGGCTACAAAGAGCATTGTGGTACTAGAAAACTCTTCATTAATTTACCTTTTGTGTACATTTTCCATCTTGAATTTTCCATCTTGAATCTAATCTATTTACTTAACTATATGGACAAAAATATTTCAAAAGGTTTTTGAATACATAACATTCTTTTTTAATTATCAAAGATATCTGACAGTGGTATTTATTTGGACATGGAGGGCTGTTGGACAGAAGTCTACTTTCTTTGTTTTTCAGATGAAGGATGCCGATGAGAGCATAGGAGATGGACCAAAGCAAACAGCACGCAAGAGACGAGTACGAAAGGATTGAACTAAACCTTAAAGCAATTAAGGATTGTTCCTTTTCTTCTCTCCCCGCAGTGCATGCACAACAGCATGCAGGCTCCCCAGCTGCTGGCTGATACGATCCATTAGATCTTCTCCTGAACCACTTGTGTTCCCTATTAATTCTTCCCACCTCTGTCCTAACTTTGAGTCTTCACTTAAAGATGTTGCTTTTTTAAGGTATTGTTGCAATGTTCATATTGAAAAAATATTAAGATGAAAAAAGAAAACGTTTTAACAACAAATACCCATTAAGGTGTATTTTGCAGCAACATAATATTCAACAATATGTACAATTAAAATAGAGCAGTTTTATACAGTGTACATAGTAAAAAACAAAAGAGATTAGAGCTATAAAAGCAGTTGAGCTGATTAAATTGTACGTCTAGATTGAAAAGTTTGCTAAATGAGTTGCAAAGAAAATAATAGCAGTTCAGAATTTAAGTTAACTAGTGTCTAGTTCTGTACTGAAAATAAAATGCACTGGAAGTATCTTAATATATTATTTTTATGTAACTTATTTTTGTTTTTGCAAGACAAATGATTCCATTTTACTGCATTTATGAAGTTTTAAGCAGTTATCACTTTGATTTTTGTGAACAAAGTTGAAAGCTTTGCAAAAGCACACTGTTCTTAAAATCTCTCTTAATTCTAGAGTTAGAAAAATATATTCAGAAAGTTTCTGAACCTTCAAATGGTGGACTGACTACATTTTCCGAGTTTTAATGTTCTTGCCATACTATAGCAGATCCCTGTTGAAAGATGTTTGCAAAATTTACATTGCTCTTGAAAATAAATATTTAATACAAGTTATGGTCTAATTGCTTTTTGTGATTGAAATAGTTCCTCAAACCAGAATTCTTCAAATCCAGGTCTTGAGGGACAGAGGATCCTCTGGTTTTTGTGAGATCCTAATTAACTGAAATAATTGAAATATTAACTTAAATGAGTATTATTAGAAAATAAGATAGTATGTACTTGTTACTTGAAATGGTTTCATAGGGTTACAGATACATATCTATAAAAACTGCAAAACTGCGTGAACCTTGAAGATCAGATTTGGAACTTAATAAACTAAATTTGAATAACTTTCTTGACTAACGTTTTTGTACTCAGAGTATCAAACTCTAATAACATGTAAGAGTTATTGGATACATTTTTTTGATAACTTATTATATATCATATACATGGATTATCATGCTTCATCTTATTAGCAATTTTACATTCCACAAATTAGCATTAATGACAAACCTGAATAAAAATGACCACAACAGAATCCTGATTTGTAAGCTTAAGTTTTTTAAAAAGTTGAATTCCTTATTTGTGTAAATATTTAGCCCTTACACTGATAAGCAATTTATTGATGACAATGGGCAAAATCATATAGTATATTCATCTGACTACAGCTCTTTACAATGCATTACTGTTACATCTCTAAGGGACCAGATTATTTAAATTTGCAGAGTACAAAAAATCTCTTTGAAAAATAAAGAGCATAATTCATTGTACAGTATATGCTTCAAAGATGTACTGTACTAAGAGACCTTAGGCTTTATTTTATATTTCTAAATGTTTAAGTGGTGAGTTCTGAAAGTTTAGTTGGATCTAAAACCACAGCATAAGTACTCTGCTAAATATTCTGTAAATGAGATTAGTTACTTGTTTCAACATCGAGTCAGTGCTCACTTAACCATTTTAACCAAAAACATTTTATATTTTACAATTTGGGAAAGTCAAACATTTAAACTAATAATTTGTAGACATGTTCTGGAATCCATCTATCCATAATTTTAAAATCTATTCTAATGACACCTACACACTATAATATGGTTATTTTAACTATATAATAATAATAATAATAATAATAATAATAATAATATAGTTCTTCTGTTATCAATGAGTGTATTCCAAGAAAACCCAAAATCTTCAACTTGGATCAAAGGTCAACACTCAGGGATTGTGGCTGTTGAGCCAGATCACTGATATCCGTGTTTCTGTCCATTCATTGAAGATCCTTCAAATAAGGTAAGTAAATCAAGTAAGGTGAAGGTAATAATACGTACTCAAGTAAGGACAATTACCAATTGCAATAAAATAATGTTGCCCGTTCACGTTAAATGCCATACTATCACCAAGGCTGCAATTCAAGTTAGCCAACACAAATGAATTGACTGAATATTAAGAGCCTTCAAAATGTATTTGCTGTGCATATTCAGAATAATATCCTTACACCACATTAAACAATTGCCGCTCCTTATTTTTCCCTCCTGGCAGCTCCCCCGTGTAAAAGATTTAGAACTTAGTACAAGAGAAGATAAAGACCTCAGGCACAAGGTTTATGAGGAAGCCATTGACACCAAGCCTGCTCAAGCAATTCATTTCAAATCTCTTCAAGTGCTTTTAAGCTTTCTTTGTACTCAGCTAGAATTCCTCATTCCCTCCTTATTTATTTCATAAAAAAGAAACAGAATTTGTGAAAAATGGGCTCCCATTTTAGTGCATGAAATGATGAAGTAGATCTAAAAAGCACTAACCATGCTTTCTTGAAACGTTTCTGCCTCTGTCCGGTCAAAAATCGAATCCAATCTTTGCCTCGGCCTCTGTCCAGTCAAAAGGAGGTGGTCACACAGCAACGATGTGCAAAGTGCTTGTGCTGCCACAAATCAAAACTGTTTCCATTCTTTTTTTTAATAAATTGTTCTTAGGGCTTGTCAAAAATCTTAGGTTTACTGTCCATTTGCAAACATATTATATAAATTGAAGAATTACAGCTTTATTTTTTTTATTATAAAATAAAGCAGGAAAGCCTGAAGTCACTTTAGCTGGTCCAGAGTTCTTTAACTTGTATTATGAATGTATTAAATTTGCAGGGACATGGAATATCTCTTAATTGGAATGAGAATATTTTGATGGCACATTTTACAAAAACACACAGAAAATGAATTATATGTTCCTGAATATAAGCAAACAGCAGAAATGACATTTTTTAAAGAACATTCAGGATATTCTGTTAATTTTTGTAATACTGTATCACTGAGATTATGTTCAATGAAAATGTGAATTTACAGGGTGCATATAAAAATAATAGCCTTGTTCAGCCATTGGTGTTGTGATGGCCTGCCGAGCTATAAAACCGTGATGCATAATCAAACCAAAGGGAATGGTGTTAGTGTTGGGCATCATATGCTGTGGGATTATCATTGGTGAACACTGAAGTTATACCCAGGTGAATGAAGATGTAACACAGGCATCTACTGTTGTGTATAAGAAAGTGTTCTCTGTACCAACCTACTGTATATCGCTCCCAATATCAAGGTTTCACAATATGGCTATTGGAAAGTGGCCAACTGACTGCATAAGGAGACCTTATGTTTCAGGATTATTTTTTAACATACCTTGAAAATAGAAAAACCTAATTGAACTGTGTTTTAAAATATTTTAAGGAACTGAAGTCCCTGTCAAGGTGTTTAAACAGTGAAATGTTTAAGATTAAAAAATGAACTGCTTCCTCTAAACATGACAAAAGCTAACCTACTGATTGAAGGGTACTATGGTGCCATTGCTGTATCTCGTCACTTAAAAGTCAAATGTCTGAGAGCCATCAAATGTTGTCCAGAAAGACTAGACACTGCAACTTCAATTGTTTTTCTTTCCAATCCCTAATGTACAAATCTGCATAAATATGAACAAACAAAAACACCTACATTCAATATGATATTTTAATAAACAACTGTACATCAATTTAGGGATGTTTTCATGTAAATTATTTTTCAGACTATAGAATTAATCATCTGCTAGACATAAACAATAAAAGAATTACTCTGGAAGTAATGTTTTGAGAAAATTTGTTCTTATGACAAAAGCAGACTTGAATGATTAAGATTAACCTTGTCGGTGTCTGAAGTTTAGAGATTATGAATTTTGGAAACCATATACTTCTTCAGATTTCTTACTTTCAAACATTTAACTAAAAAAAACTCCAGGATCAGATTTGTGAAGACAAGTGTGCATCATATTGTCTTGATATGAAATTATTTAACTGTTGCATTCAGCCAATGCTAGTAAAGTATTACCTTGAATTGTCCATTTGTAATACTTACATATCAAATTATTATTATGAATGAAGCAAATGACTACTTTTTATTATGGATCCCAGAAACTTCTCTCTTTAAGACACTTCCAGATACCAGTGAGAAAGAATACCACCATACGGACTCATGCAAAAGCAAAAACATCTTTATTAAAACAAAAGTCTCAAAAGCCAACACAGTAATAAAATGTACACAATCTACACACAAAGTCAGTAATATCTCGGGGTGTGTAGGCAAGTTACATGTCCGCAGGAAAAAATAAAAAAATAATAAAACTACTTTCAATGCAAATAAATTATGACATTCTCTCTAAAAGTTCTGAAAACTCCAGGTTAATTCTCTTCATCAAGGAAACACCCCACAGGACTTGTTTCCTCATAAATACACACTTACGCGGACACCTGATCGTTGGCCACGGTTTTAAAGGGCTCTAATAACAGGAGACTTGGATCCACTTTTACATTAAATAGCATCTGGCACCACATTTTATTTGACTGTGCCCTGAATGTTTTCAAATCCAAACACAAATCAATGTTCCTAACAATTTTTAATGATCAATATTTCTTCCGCCTTTAAGTGCAGTGCCAAGCCATTATTCCTCCTTAGCCTTCCTGCCCACTTAACCACAACATCATCTGAAACTACACTGGCACCACATCAACAGCGGCCTACCATGTCTGCACTGGTGGCAAATTTCATCAGTCTGTGGGCTTCTCCTGATTCTTTGTAAACTAGCTCTACAGAACATGATGATCATCTTCAGAATAAATTCTGAGTACCAAGTCTAGTTTGGCCTTCGGTTAAAAAAAAACTCTGTGCCAATTCATCTTTGAATAACAGTAACATTAGCGAAACTGATGACTGAAATAACTGGGAAACTCCAACCCTCTATTGACATTTTCCCTAGAAACTCCACCGATCTGAAATGGAACAGACTGTTTTATAATGTCAGAGAGCAGTCAGCTCTGTCCCTTGTGTGTTAAAAGCATTGTTTAACACTGCATTTTATTCCCCAGGTACAGTAATTAAAGCAGTCAGATCAGTAAAAAGAACACATTTTTCATTTTTGTTGTAATACTAATTTGCCCATACACCTATGTGCAAAAGAAAGTGTATCCGTTTAATCCTCATTAAACTCATATTAGAATAATAACGCTGAGTGTTTACAACTTCACTGGTAATGACCTCAGTACATAATGCGAGTGGCCTTATTCTCATTGTGCTGACACTCACAATAGTTTAAATCAATACAAAGCACTTTCATCTTAAACAGATACTGCTGAAAGTAAGTAGATGGAACCAGTGTATTCAGGCATACACATAGTATACACTGTTTCTGTACAGCCCTCTTTGTGCTTACCTATTTATACAGAAAAGATATAATCTGGTGTATATGTTACATCACACCAGACTTGTCAAGAGATTGGTAAGGACTCACCGAGAACTGTAAAAGCCAAATAATCTGAACTATTTCTCTAAACCAGTCTTGTATAGCCCTGTACTCGCCTTCCCAGTCAAAGTCATGCAGGTTTATTATTTAAATTCCTCAAGTTCACACAGATTTGCACACTATTCAAATTCCCTAGTGTGTCTGTTTTGTCCTGCATGTGGCAAACCGCTCAAAACAGTCCTTTCCATTTGACAAACTGGCACAGACAGGAAAATACCACAGATGGTGAAGTCAACTTCTGTCCCTGCAAACTTCACTAAAAGAGTCAAGGACGCCACACGAAACATCGTTCGTAGAAGGCGATTCTCTGGGAAGTCCCCAACCCATGCAGAAGGCTGAGCACGACGAGTCCGCGGCTTTACGCCAAACCGGAACAGATTACATAAAAAATGTTAAATTAATACAAACAAAAACCTATAAACAGAGCTTAATGTGCATTTTAATGACTACACAGATGTAAACATGATCGGTGGTGGTCAGGGAGATGGGAAAGGGGAGGCAGCCCCTTACTTTCGTTTGCTCTTTGTGTCAGTCGTCTGGAAGACGCTGGACGCCGACATGAGGTTCTCAATGTACTGTCCCAGCACCTGGTTTTCCGACTTCAGCTTGAGGTTCTCTTCTTTCACCGCATCGACTCGTGCCGAGAGGTCTTGAGAACGGGAAGGGGAGAGGGGGAAACGGCTTCTTTCAAGGCCTGTTCTAAAAGTACAACTTGTACACCAAGCAAGGCAGACGAAAACAAACCACTTTCTGGAGAAAAGCGCTGACTGGGCAATGCGTACTTTAATTGTCCCTCAGCACTGTACTAGGATTTCCGCATTCACTCCAGGGCATATTCCATGACTTTCCTATTATATGTCAGCAAGCGTCGGTGACAATATAGTCTTGATATGGCCCTTAGCCATTAGCAGTCAACTAATCCTCAAGTCTCTTTTGCTCTGTTCTATGAATTGTTTAAGTAATTTTACACTGTAATTAGTACCAGATATGATATAGGCTGTCCAAGCATATAGTAACCCCACTCCACAACTTCCTTTTCCATTGTTTTTCTACATTTTGCATGGCTTTTCTAACTCTGAAAACGAAATGGGTAACTGTTCTGTGAACTGTTCTGTTCTGTGAACCCAGATGTGTGTTGACCCTATTGACTTAAGAACGTGACCTGTTGGTCTATGGTTAGTACATGAAAGTGGTATTACATTTTCTGATAAGCCATAGCCATCAAATGGCTCTCTTACACAACAGTGGAGCTGACTTTATTCAGAATTACAACTACAGCTTTAGGGCCATAGAGGTGATCCAATGAAAATCAGAATTACACTGTAATTATATCTAGCACACTCTTATATCCATCATATCTATTAGATATATAATATCCCCTATAGTCATTACAGTTCAACTATGCATCTTGCTGTATTTTTCCACAATTTAATAAGAATGTCATTCTTGAAAATCAGTAAATGTTTGCCAATTATGACTGCAATTTCATTTCAACTTAAGGTGTAGCTGAGCAAAACATGTGTAGGTATTTTAATTAACAGTGCTCGTGTAACTACAGTTTTGATCATAATTAACTGTAGGACTGCAGTAGATAGTAATCTAAAGTCCCACTGTTTTAACAGTGGGACTTTTAACACTGGACATTCAATAAGGTGATGGGTGGAAATCCATTCTGTCCTACTGTAGGGGATTATGATGATAAGACCTGACATTGAGAGGAATGGAGATCTCCTCTCACCTTCCAAAGTGTGCTGCAGCTCCAGGACCTGGTTAATGAGTCTCGTCTTCTCCTCCAGCTCCACCTGATTCTCAGTGTCTCCTGTGCCACAAACACACACGCACTGGGGTCATCCACAACTACATAGAAGGCTGGGAGCAAAATCATCAGTTGAATCTGAGATTCATTCTGCTGCTTCACGCTGACAGGAAGACCCTCTGTCTTAAGATAAGAACATTAAAGCTAAAGGGATATGCTTTTGATTGATCTCTATGCTCAGAAATAAAAACAACAACAACAACAACAACAACAATAAATGTACTACAATGAAGACTAGCAACAGTAAAGGAGGATCTGATGCAATAGTGAGAAGGGTAATACAATTTTATTAAAATAGGTTGCAAGCTAAGAATTACAAAGTTGCAGAGAGCTGCCTCATTTTTATTAAGAGTAGATAAAAACTTGAACTGCCCTCTTAATTTAAACAATAACACGCACATGTGGACACTCCAATGTTTTCAGTGCAGCACTGTCTGCTACGAAGTCAGCTCTACAGAGAGAGTTTGAGTTTGCCCTCACCATCTATGTCGGAGTTCATGGTGAAATACTCGTCTTCTTCTTTAGAATACAGGGCTGCAGATCTACTGTCCACTGCAGAAAAGAGCACAGACAGAAAGGAAAGATTTAAAGAATATTCCCAATAGCTAGGCTAGAACAGATATGCATATATTAATGAAAGAAATTCAGACACTTTCACACAGATATATGTCTACACAGGAATTAGGTAACTCAAAAATAGCATATCAGATACCAGCGCCGTCCCAGATGTGTTCAGATTCGTACTCTTTGCTTAACAGATCTGCTTACTCGTTGTGAAAGTTTCAACCCGAACATTTTTAAATCTATTTTCCTCCAAACACCACAGCAGAAGCGACTGCACTTAAGGAAAAACACCTTGGTGTACTGTACATACCTAATACTAAACATTTTTCACGGGGCTTGCTAACACATGGATATACCACCCCAGTATTCCCGTAACACGTGAGCATCCGAAGGTTTGTTAGAAATCAGGAAAAAATATCTTTCCATGAATTTTGCCGCTATGAAACTGTATAAAGATGCAATTTACAAGGTTATCAAGTGTCCAACGTCACCGTTTCTTCATGGTCAAAAAGTAACTCGCTTAACAGTGTTGCTATTACATTATCCGATGGCCAATAACAAAATCCTAATCTAAAGATTTCAAGTAAGAAGAGGATTGGCCACACTTTAGAAAAGGACACATCACAACAGCTGTCAGCCCAGCGTTTCCAATCATAATCCAACATTTTACAGAATAGGAAAAGGCGGCGTCCGCGCGTTTAAAAGGATCATCTCCACAGACGATACGCTGGTATCTACTGTATAAATCGACCAACCCTCAAACCGAATAAAACCAAACACAAAATACGCGGAAGACGAACCGTCGACACGACAGTCGTTTGGATGCTCGATGAGCTGAAATCGGGGTACCGCCAGCGCTGCGGGCGCTATGGGCTCAGCCCGGTTTGTAGCAGCGGCGCAGGAGACACGGACCCAGCCCTGATCTCAGGCAATCCGGGGCACAGGGAAAGCTGCCAAGGCCTGGCCCATGTCGACAGACTTACTACATTTCTTAAAGGAAAATGTTGGCCGTGGATCGATCACCGTTACAATCGAACACGCAGGACAACCTCTCCCTCCCCCCCGGATGTCATACTGTATTAACACTGGCCGACCGAAATGGTCAAGACTCCGTCGCTCCTGCAACTGTCAAGACTGCGTTTTACCTGTTTTCCTCAATCGTTTCGTCCCTGAATGGCTTTCGAATTACTTAAATCTACCGTAATATAAATCGTACATTTAAAGCATTCAGAGTTATTCAAATCAGTGTGCACATAAAAAAAAAACAACCGAGGCCTGTACGCCCTGATCTCTTGAAAAAAGGAACTGGTTATACGCAGCTAAACAGCGTTTTAAAACGTGAAACCCCAAACCTTCACATTAAAAGTGGGCAGATTCTGTGATGTTTTCAGGAGTCACTTACCTTTCAGAAGCGAAGAAATAATTTAACCTCTAGGCGGAGCGTTTATAATGAAACCTTAACAAGCCTGTCACTGCGGTCTCCCCGTGAATGATCAACAAACCCTCACTGGGCGCTGCGGCGCACTTACAAGGCAGTCCGGCAGGGGGCGCCACGACACGAAGCGGAGAGCTGGGAACGACTATATAACCGCAGTGCCCAAACAATGACGACAGCTGTTACTGTACAATGCACAGTAAAAACACTACATGAAAAAAGTGTAACCTATTGATCCACAGTGCAGTAATGCCCTAGCATTATAATATATATGATATGTTTTTGAATGAGAATAGGAGTAATTGAACAAAAAAAGTACAGAATTTGGCCACAGTAAGTAAAATATTAAGTTGCGCGTGAAGAAAAGACAGCATAAAAAGCAAATAATAATAATTGTTGTTATTTCGAAGTATTCTAGTAACAATATAGCCCGTTGGGAATGCACTTTGCTCTTTGTAAGAATGAAATAAAATATATTTATAAAATAAAGTGACACTAAAACCCCATCGTTTAGTTATTTGAGTTAAATGTTTATAGATAAAGTTTTATTTATTGAGATTATATATTATATTCTAATACATCAGGACTCTCCATTCTAGCCTTAAATTCTCTGGGATTTAAGACTGCCAGTTAGGTCTTTTGAGTGCTCTGAATCGAGAACCGGTGTCTCCCTATGGTTTTGGATGGAGCTCCGCTTTGCGGTCCTGCAGAGACCAGCCACAGTAAGAAAAGCTCCCCATCGGTACTGCTTCTGTACTCTAACTCCTCACATTGGCCTAACTGCTCTTCAGACCACGCTGCTCCAAGACTGAAAAACTGTGTCTCAAAAGCCATTGCTTTCTTTATCTTGTTTCTACAGTGGCTAATTCATCTAACAGAGCCGTAACTCTTCTTAATTTCAACATTTCATCTCTCTGTACATGTTGCTGTATCTATACCTGCATGTTGAGGCACATTACAGTTCACATAGGCTGTCAGCATGCCGCCCACGTCAGGCATGGCTCTGAAGAAAAGCTGGCAGGGTATGTTTTCATCTGCTCTCGCTTTAGACAGTTCCCACTGAACGGCAGTCACATTAGCCTCAGTTCTGATGCAAAATCTGGAGTCCAGAGTGACTTGATTATTATTATCGCGTTTTTTATAAATTGTTGTGTTCAGGAATTGTTTCACTACCAAGTTTTGAAAACAAACATTTTCTCAGGTTAATATAAGCAGATTTTACGTTACAGTATCATTATAATGAACATGTTAAAAGTGGAAACTGAGTGTGTTGTTCACTCAGTACGAATGTGAATTAAATGAATTCCCTGAAATCGGTATCTTCCAAACTTTAATTCTCAACTACATTGTAGTCTTTTATTCTTCATACCCTCACATTCACACTGTAGTGACCTGACTCAGATAATCAAGATAATACAAAAAAAAAAACACAACAACGAATTCTTGTTTTCCAGAGCAGGTTCAAATGTATTTCAAAAGTTGTGATGTGTTGTTCTATCTCAGCGACCTGAGTAGGACACTTTCTGAGCACGTCTGCTTGTTTTTCGCTGAGCTGGCTCTTTGGAACACACAGGAATATTAGTGTATTACTCCATGGGCTACCTGACTCAGGGGGTAGCTTATGTTTCCCATGTTGTTTCAATTATCAGTTGCTGTCAGATTGAATTGTCCCTGACTTCGCCCCACCTAAAGTTTGTTTGATTCAGCATCATCCCACATGTCAGGCAATTTATTGTCAATGTTAGACATCAGAAGGGATGAAAGGCTTCACGTTTCCAGACTGTTTTCTGCCTTCTCTCCAGGCTTGCCAGGAAAGGGAGATTTAGGGAAATTGTAAAGCATAATGTTATTAAGTGTCAGGGCTGAGCCAAATCCATTTGTTTTCAGGTATCTCTCAAAACATGGACATGATGTTGTTTTAGCCCATTGAAATGATAAATAATTGGAGTTCTGAAGAGGTAACTTGAGACCATTTCTAATTTGGCCTCATTTCCAAATGAAAACGTCTAAATGCAACCTGAATGTAGTCTGCTGACTCACAATGTGTTACACAGACATATTGTTAATTTAATTCTCTGTTTCCCAAAAACATAATTGGTTTCATTTTTAATACCTTAATGTTTCTAACTTGTCAAATCCTTCTCAGTGTGAGATGGTATTGGGATTTAAACAGATGTGCGACAGCTTGCAGATATTCATAAGCTTTTCTAATGTGAATGTGAGCAGCCTAAAGTAGCTTCTCAGTTTACTAAGAACATAAGAAAGGTTTATCTGCAAGAGGAGGCCAATTGGGCTGAAGTGTTGTCCTACACCGAGAGGCTAACAGAGCTGAACCTTGAACACATCAATCTGTAATCTTATGACAGGTTTGTGGGATGTCTTTGATTTATTGGAGCTGCTCTAACACTTGAATTCATCAATCTTTTATGAGAGGCAAAGGCTCAGAATGTGCTTATTCCAAAACTAGTTATTACTCGTTCTAATGTTGATCGTTTCCTCAATAAATGCAAATGTGTCTTTTATTTTGCCGTTTTATTCCTCTTAAATTCAATCCAGTTGGCTCCTGCTGGTTGATAAGTCATTAAAAAAAAACACCCTAACATTACAGCAAAGCAAAGGCTTGTGTTGTATTGGCACAGAGGTATATTACTAAAAATATCGGTGCAACTTCCTGGGCTCCTGCAGATTTGCAGTGATGTCAATGAAGGCCGCTTCACTCCTCCAGTTGATGGTGACCTTCCTGTCAGGTGCTGTGGAGCTAGAGATGAATGTGTCCCTGAGTGGGCAGGTCACAAGAGCTTTTAAGCCCCAGCTCTCTCTCCTTCTGCACTGCATGAGCAGTTGCTGTTAGCCAGTATGTCAAGAGACAGTTGGTGATTGCAAAGGGGGTAGGTATATATATAAAAAAGTCAGTGCATGTTTTCACTTTCCACATCTCATTCCGAATTGTACTTATCATAGGGGAGTAATGTTGCCACTAACGTAAGGAACTGGGTCTCAGAGGAATCTAGTTGGCATCTGGCTTTATGACCCAATTCAATCGATTCTAAAAAGACTGTGGTGCTTCATGGGAGCTAAAGACAATGTGGAACAAGAAGCACCAGCTTCATCTATGACGGCAGAAAGGATATTCTACACCTCGCAGAACGTGAGACCAGCTCCCCTGATGTTCAACATCATTAGAGATCTGTGTTGTGTATTAGAACCTATGATCACTGGGAAAAAAAACCTACAGGAAGCACATATGCTACATATACAAGGTTAGCAATACAGTATGGTGGGGATGTCACACGCAGACCTGTCTTACAATTGCTATGAATAATTCTGAATTGGACAGATGCTTGCTTTTCATATGCATGTTCCCCTGGCAAAACATATTTCAGTACCAGTTGGTTGCACTAGATTAACTACTGTAGAAAGATCAGTGAACAGATATGACAGTGCTGTTCTGCTACTTTGAGAAACCCATATGCTGTTTATGGGGAGAGCAGACTGCAGTAATAACTGACCGTAACCCCATGGAAATATTTTCCTCTCTTGATCAGCATTCCTCCACATTCCTCACTCACTTCATTGAGAGTGCTTTGCTCTAAGCTTTAATACTGATAGTCGGACTGGACAGACCATCTTTCCCAGGAAATTAAATATTGAAATCTTTTGTTTGCCCCACCCATCTATAAAATCCATTTGTAAGCTAAATATTTGTATTTGTTATATTTAATACAGTAGGTGGCCTACAAGGGAGCTGTGGTGGCTCTGATGGCATGGGTGTCTAGCTCCTAACCAGAAGGTTCAAGGTTCAATCCCAGGTAAGATCAAGTAATGTAGCTTGCTCTAATTCCTTCCAGATGGCTCCCAGGTCCACTTGGCCTGCTTTCCAAATGAGTACCAGGGGTTAATCCTTCTGGAGGTAATAGGGGGCCAGAGCATGATGCTGACCACATCACCTCCACTTCCACCTCCACTGACCACATCACCTCCAGTGTTGCATGGTCAAGAAATATGGTGGCCTTTGCCCCCCATTCCCCATGGGCCTTGATGGCCTTGAAAAGGGACTGACCTTCCCTACCTACCTTCAAGCACAACTCCCTGGCTTCAAACCAAACATGGTGATGTTAAACTATTAGTGCCAGGTTTGTGACTCTTAATTTGAAAGGGTTTTCAGAGCTGAACTCGTAAAGCCCTTCAAAAATCAATAGGGCCACAAGCTTCCTTGTCAGTTCATTCATTCATAAGCCAAATTGCATTTTGTGTTTGTGTTGCTTGTTAGTTAGGCTACATGTTGCTGGATGGCCAGGAGAAGCAAAACTGAAACTGAAACCCGTTAATCTTTTTCAGACAAATCTCAAAAGTGGATTCCTGGTGCAAAGCAGGTAGCTGGTGGCAGTTTTCTTTCAGCTATTGAAATGTCCCAGCTGGAGTTCTGAGTACACGGCACCATGTTTTTTTTACAGAGGGCTTAAAGGGGTTTCATGTGGCTAGTTTCCTCATGAAAAAAAAATTAATGAAATTGATACTGTGAGACAAAAGAAATGAAGACTTATGACATGCAAAGATGTACAGTAACTCTTATCCTCACAAGGCATGGTTTTTAAATAATAACAGCAATTACTGATAAAAAAATATTTGTTTCATTGGTTTTTGAGTCACTTGAAAAGTAATTCTGAACTCATTATTTAACTCTAAGTGTGGAGATTAAGGTAAGAATGATCTAGTTATTTAGAATGGGGTCAATGTGGAACTGGATACTGCTAGAAATATTAGGATACTGGCTAAATTTATTTTTCCTTTTTTATTGTGTAGTTTTCTTTTTTCTCATAGTGGAATATAATAAATAACCATTGTGTCCAGCCTAATAGAGCACCAAACAAAGAGATCTTGTTTATTGTTTATAGTGGGAAAATTCAGTAGCATTTTTGTTGCCCTCTGGTGCTTTTTTATGGTAATTAAAATGTTTATTCGGCTTGTGTTTATAATGCACTGATGTTCCAAACAAAGTAACAACTGTGAATGTGTTCTTAGGTATTAGATTTATGGGAAGAAGTTAAAAAGACCACCCACACCCTAGGGCATTTTAGGTTTTGCCATCCACTGA